ATGGGAAGATTTTCCACCTCTCGAGGGTTGCAAAATAATTGCAGAAGTTCCGTCTGCAGTGGTGAATTGCTTCAATCCGGGAAAATTCTGCAGGGTCGGATAATTCGTCATTTGAGCTTGTTGATCCATGCCCATTCAAGGTTGTCATACCCATTGTCGTGCAGGACTCACTCCTCTAGACTCTGATAGTCAGATTTCGACTCAGATTCCGAACTCTCCTGCTGCACAGGGTCCGGCAGATCATCAATCGCGGAGCAGATTCTGGCGTGGAGTCCGGGCGCCCAGTCGTTGTATACCGCCATGACGAACTTGTACGATGCCCATCTCTCCCCGATATCCCTCGGTGTCAGGGTATATTCGTGGACTAGGTGTCGATAGTACGAGAACACGCCGTTGTCGAACATGACATAGTGGGCATAGATCCTGACAATGTGGTGGCTATGCGAGACCGAGAATGCAAGGACATCCTTGTGCAGTTCATTTTCTCGTCCAACCATCTTAAATAGCTGGACTACACTCTCCGCGGCGAGCGCCGCGCTATACGTATTCTCGACATCCGCCATATCGAGCAGTTGTCTTGATGTGATCTTTGTCGTGAGAAAGGGAAAGTTCATTGTCGCCGTAGGCCTGAAAAAGGAGTCGGGTCCACTGTACGGCTCGAGCTTTTCAAGCTGTTCCTCCGTAAAGGCTTCTTGCGAGAAGCCTACGGCGTAGTCCGGTTGAGGGACCGGTAACTTCTCCACGCCGCCATCCACGAGTGGACTCATTAGCGTCCACATCTCGCTCATTCCCACAGCATAGTGCTGGAACTGGGTCAGGCCGCGATCAATCGAGGTCTCTGCAGATGGAACGAGTAGCTCGCCGATCAACCTGTTCACCCCATTGTTATTCTTCGTCAGGAGCCGCTCGCAGGTCATAAGGAAGGGCTCCAGCTCGAAGACTGTATCCTTGGGTAGCTCCGCGTCCTTCGTGCGCAGATCCGCACAGAGAGCCCTGACTTTCCCCGGGACACCAGCCTGGCGATCCCGCGTGAGTATTCGATACTTCTTCAAGATCACCGTGCAATTCGCCACGGTGTAATCAGAATCATCTCGCTCCGGCGAGCGCCCTCGCTCCTCTTCAACTTCCCAGTCTGCATCTGCGGCTGCCCGTGCTTGGATCGAGCCTATTGATCGTTGGAGGAGGTCCTGAAACTGTGGATGGAGCTGGCCGAACCGCTCCTCTGGTGGTTTCTGAGGCCATCCATTATGGGCCATCCAGTGCTGGAGGCCCGGGTTGTTCTTCGCTTGTTTGATCTTGTGTTGTAGTTTGTCCTGGGCATCTTGTGCTAGTTGGGGACCTGGGGCTGCTTGGGGCGGTGGATTTGGGGCTGGTTGTTGTTGAGCTTGCTGCTGAGCCTGTTGTTGCTGGTCCTGTTGCTGGTCCTGTTGCTGGTCCTGTTGC